AAAAGTGTTTTGGCAGACTTTTGTGGTTTTGAATCACACAAGGTTAGTTACCGACTTGTACGTGTAGCAATCAGGCGTACAGTCTTGGGGACACGTGCTGAACTGATAATTACACAGTGTGCGTTTTGGCATTAGTCTACACTCGGACCACGTGCTGAACTGATAATTACACAGTGTGCGTTTTGGCATTAGTCTACACTCGGACTCTGAGGTCTACACCACAGTCCTTCTATAGAAGTAATTATCCTGGTAATCATTTGCCATTTCAGCGAGAAGGACGGTTACAGTGTTGCGTAACTTGAAATAGCACCAGTAATCGTGAATCGTGGCGGATATTTAAAATACAAAAGTGAAACTGAATTCAGACCCAGATGAGTTGCGGATGTTATAAGGAAGAAGGTCACTCAACTCTACTCAACCATAGAAGGGATCTATTTTTAATCACAGTACGAAAATAGATATTACCATTATAAAGTTATACTGGTATTGTGGCATTGAGATTAATATAGAACATCATGGCATCATGTTGTACAACTATGGGGTGGGGTGGGGGTGTTGAATTACACAACTGTAAAGGGGCGTCACCTGTGCACGCACAGGAATTGAGTCCCAAGCGACGATAACAACGCACGCTAAAAACGCAAAGGCTCATGGGTAGACGCTTGTTTGTAAACGACGACACCATTGACGCTGCAGGTCGGCGTCTTCGTCTGTGCTGGGACAGCGCTTCCTGTGACGACACAACGCGACGACACGATATGGCTGTCTGACGTATGCGCAGGTGACGATTCCCCGCTTTAATAACCGGTAAATTGAATAACAATGAATTGGAAATCAGCAAAAATGTGAACTGTGGTATATCTAACGTGTATGTGAATGAGGAGAAAAACAATCACGAACGCATTGTCAACTTTCAAATGCGCCCCTGTTTCAAGTTGAAATATAAAACACAAATATGAAACATAAATATGTACGCTACAAAACTGAAGTCGTAATATAGTAAATACAATATTTGCCTAAAACTGCTAATTCACGATGATCGGGACTATATCAGGGTCGACCAACCAACGTCCGCGCACAGTAGGCCAGCGAACACAAACCACGAAACTTTTTGTGAAGTCATGATGACGAAGTCCGTCTTTTATCCTGTACGCAATGTGGGGTTAAACCATGGAAGACACCATTCAGTGAGAGGGTAGATCGCCTTGATATGCTTGGTGGGGCATCAGTTCCCCCCGCAACGTCCACTGTAATATTTTAGAACCAAGGCTAAAATCGGGTTCTACTATGAATAATCAATTGTGTTTGTCGATGACAATTAAAATCTTATACACGATTGACACCTTTTTAGTATATTGATGTATTTTAGCGAGGAGGAACACCCCTAGATAGAAAATAGTTGGCGCCCTACGGACTATAAAAACAACAGGCAGGACTGAATATTGCAATAACAGCAATAGGCGCAGACGACAACGCCACAGGACCAATCATGTCTGAAAAACATTTAAGTGCAGGTGAGTGTTTTAACGTGTTTGTCTTAAAACAGTATGGTATAGAAATGTGATTCTGTTTAAATCAGATTTTACAATAGCACAAATGGCGTCCGGTGGATTTAGATTTGGAATCAATTACAATACAACTCAACGGATGACATGACCTCTGTTCGTATATAAAGTTTGCATGACAAATTTGTTTCTATTCTCAGTTCAGTCTGTTAAGCAAAAACTTCTGATCGGATTTTGATCAAAGTTCGCATATTACCTTGGGGGTAATGTGCAGACTGTGTGTACGAAAAATCTAAAAATCGTCAGGACGGATTTTGATCAAATGTACTACATAATGGTGTGGAGCACCTGCTGGCTGATGAGCTTAACTTTAATGTCATTGTCATTTCGCTTACTGTTGGAAATTCTCATTTTCTACATAAGTTTTTATAAAACTTTATTGTACTCAGCCAGTTAAAATACATGCGTTCTATCTCTTTATATAAGGCTCGGAGTTGCCACCATTGAAGAAGGACACTCTTCGTATTTATAGCATGAGACTTTGTCCATTTGCATACAGGGCTATCTTAGCATTGGCTTTGAAAGAAATAGAGTAAGTATAATTCGTGTTCACAATATGAGGTTTTTCTTATTTTGCGGTATGTTTGGGTTATTTTTCGGCCTGACAGAAGTATAATAAATTATACGTATATAATATGAACTAGACACTGAACGCATCGTAGCTACTGAATAGGGTAATGGAGTGTTATTATTGGTTGATAAGTCTGTTCAGGTACAGACCAGAGAAAATGTTCTTCGTTGTTCTTTGAATGTTCTTTAAACAAGGTTTAGCTGTGTTGTTGTTTGAAATGAAACCTCCAGATTTAACTACTTTGCACTTTGTGACAAAGTTATATTTACACAGATCGAATCCCCGATATTGCATACTGGTATTTGTGTTTATTTTTTTCAGGCATGAAGTTGTCAATGTAAACCTTAAAGATAAACCATCTTGGTTTATTGAGAGGAATCCTAAAGGTCTTGTTCCAATATTGGAAATAAACGATCAAATCGTATATGAATCCATTGTGTGCTGTGAATACTTGGACGAGGTTTACCCTGGTGACCAATTGGTTGCCGAGACTCCGTACCAGAGGGCGCAAGATAAAATTCTGATAGACTTCTTTAGCGGCAAGGTATACTTTCGTTTTTCTTCCTTTTTTCCCCCTTATTTCTTTATTTTGTTTATTAAATTATTTATTATCTCAAACTTTTCTTAAAGCAATATGAATCTCCAGATGTCTGTCAAGCTTCCATAATTTAACAAAAACTGTTAGAAATTCATTAATAAAGCTATAACACACTCCTCACTTTGGACTTTCAAACGATTACCATAATCGAATAGATCGACATGCTTCAGGTCTTCATTACTTTAGGAGTAATTTTGGAACAAACATGTGCGACACATAGTTTAGGACTGGGGATATAGTTTAAATATGTTTATTTCTCTATGTCACGTATGCAAAAATGCCCACTGTTCATAGCATAATGATTCAATGTCCCACTACAGGTCTCACCATTGTTAAAGTCAGGGTTAGAAGAGGAAAAGAAAAATGATTTTTTTCAACAATTGGATAGAATGGAAAACGAGTTGAAAAAAAGAAAAACAACCTATTTTAGAGGTAAGTAAGACGGGGAACTTTTACGTCACCGTTTGAAATAATTTCTTAACTGAATTAAAAACGCCTTATAATTTATAAGTACATATGTACTGCAGTCCCTGAAATCCTAATCGATATTTCCACATTCCATATGCAAATGAGGTCTGGGAGCAAACAAAGTAGTCCCTTCTGCTTTGCTCGTGAAAGTACGCCCACAGGATACACCGCTTACCTCGTGAAAATAAAATTCCATACGCAACGAGAACCACTGTGAGGATGTGGCGTTCTGTCATACTATTTTAATTTATAGTTATAAATAAAAACTACGCATATTCATGAGTCATTGTCTAAACATGATAAAATCTGGTTTTAGTTATTTACCCCATAATTGTGTCGTCCGTGATTCTTTCGGTCTCTTGTTTCACATTATGAAATCCATTCCCGACGAATACATCAAATAGAGAATATTTTCCATTGAATGCGAGATCCCACGTTTTGCGTGAAATCAAACATAGAACAAACAAAGGTCACAGTGCCGTACTGGCGTCAAAACATCATGTATGATTGATTTGTGGTATTTCCATGCTTAATAATGTTTTATATTTTTCTCTGAAAGATCGTCATTATTATAATTGAACGATAAAAAAATAGAATCATTCAATTTTTACGGCAGACCTTCAATCTGCATTTTCACGCTTTACGCGAGATCTCGTAGTGAGCTGAAATATCACCCAATGGCATCTAACAAATTCGCTTTGTTTCTTTCTCAGGGGAGAAACCCGGCTTCGTTGACATCGTTATATGGCCATTCTTTGAACGTGTTGAAAATATGACTGTTTTGGGCGGTGACGGTCTCCCTGCCAACCGTTTCCCGTTACTCAGAACTTGGATATCTCAGATGATGGACATTCCAGCAGTGAAGAATCGTCGTGAATCTCCAGTAATATTCTGACGATTTCATGAGAACCAGAGAACAAAATCCATTTTTGGGCGAATTATATAACGCACTCCACAGCTCGTATTTGTATAAGTTTTACATTCAGTTTTGTATTACGTAGTACATATATCCCTTTTCGGTTTCTCCATATTATGTAGTCAAAATCCCAGTAATCTGATTGGTCCGTGAAAGCGGGATGAACTTTGAATGGAATTGTTGCCAATCTCAAGTTATACTGTTCAGTTTTATATCATATCTCTTGAACAATTGTTAGGAATTATATTAAATTGAATATTTGTTGTAGTTTCCGATGATAGCAAAAACGAATGTGTGTTATAAAACAGCATAGACGTGACCACTATTTCCAATTCTCCCAACCTCAACATTTCCATGCCATTTATCACAATTGTGCGCGACAGTCGTGTTACTAATTTTTCTACAAAACTGTGAATATATATTCAGTTTAAAAAATAAATATTTATTATTTAATCGTACGATAAACTTACCGTAATAGGTGTGTATGAACAGTGATTATTTATGCAAATTATGATATTCATGATAGCGTTTTAAACGGATGTATGGTATACACACGATAAATCAAATTGGAGACGGAACAGATTGGTGTTGTGAGGGCGTAGATCGAAACAACCTCCCGATGCACTATGGTGTTGCCTACATATAAACTGACAGCTTGTATTTTATTTGAAATACTAGGCAAGGTAAACATACTTCTCCCATCAATTATTGCTCTAATTTCCACCATCTGTGGTTAAATTGCGGTGGACGGTAGGGTTGAGTTGAGTTGATAAACACGTTTATAATGCGAATGAAATGGACGCCCTGTTCACCCTGAGACACGCAGCAGATCTTAATTTAGCTATGTAACATCTCTTTTCTTGTACACTCTGATTTGCGCAACGCTGTAAGTTATTTCTTTCTAGTGTCATTCCACCTAGGGGTTTACATTTTTCAGAACCAAGAAAAAAAAACATTGTTTAAAGCGCGGTGGTTGTGGCGCTGCGCATCTGCAAAATTTGTGTTGATAAACATTGATTTTCCCACAATCCAATGAGCTCTTCAAATGCAAATCACAAATATGAGGACTGACCTGGGCGCGATTTGCACTGAATACCGCCGACGGTGACTTCTTAGATACTTTCCAACCACCTAAAATTACCTAATTAAAGCTTGGAAACGTCTCAGTTGTACTCGTTGATCTGCGCAACAGTCAAAGTCGCCATCTTTGTTTATATGAGACCCATATATCTCGCGCATGCGTGGCGCGACGACTACCGCCCTTTAACTTCAACAGAAAAGAGGCAAAATACAATATCAACTGCAAGTATAAAAAAATGTTCTGAAACAAGTTTTGGGTATGAATTATTAAAAGTGTCCCAAAATTCACTAACAGAATTGAAACAATTGACAAACTGTGAACTAAGTTAAAGAGTATATGTCATATTCACCAAACTTCATATGGGTTCCTGTTATCAGGAAATCAACAATGAAAAAAAAAATACAATGTTCCGAGATACAAGAGTAAAAAATGTCCGGGAGATAGTCAGAACTTGCATGGACTACTGGGGTGGTTATTTCTTTATATCGCAAATTTTTGCTTTGTGACATGGCATGAAAAAGTCGTATATTATTATTGATACGAATCCTAATATTGTTATAAAGCATTTCCAAAAAAATTACATATAATTTTGTTAGTTTCCAGTATGATAATAATTTTCCATCAAATACAATGGGAATTTCTCTTCTATAGTGCACTCTATTTATGTGTAGTAACATGCTCAGTAGTGCACAATTTGAATATGGCTTGAACTGCCTTAAATTCCCGTAAAATACCTGCCTTCAATTCCTTAGCATGGAAAAACAAAGAAAATTATCAAATCTACCACGGAGGTCGCAAACCTCATCGCACATTGACAAACATATTTTTGATTTCATTTTTTTTTTTTTTAGCGATACGTGTATTTTATTATTTTACGTTCCGATATAATAATGAAGCACTTGCCATCAACAATCCAAAATTTAATGATTATATTCCAATGTTATATCCAGTTGCACTTCAGAATAAGGAGACTAAAAAATCTGACTCTCAATTTGACTTTTGGGACCACCTTTCTGACAAAAAGGTGATTTTAATTTTACTATAATCAATTTCCCACATGCTTGCATGGGCTATGTATTTCACATCTCATTTTTATAATATTTTCTTCTTTCGTCTAAACTATCAAACCAAAGGCTTTGTAGTGAATGGCTGGCCTCACCGGTAATATTCGAAAGTTTTTTGGCAGATATAACGATCTAACACTGATGTAAATTTCCTTATATGGCTTTTGTATAAAAAAATACGGCTGGGTACGTTATTTCTAATTTATCATAAAGCCAGTCTCAGTTGGTTCCGGTATATATGTAATTGAATCATGAACTTTTGGACAGTTATTTTACATTTGTTCAGAAAATCGTAAAAACACTAGTATATTTGAAAAACAAGAAATAGTAAAAATTTTTGCAAGTGAATGAGCTTTTTTTGGCACGGCTGGCAACGGCTCGTCTACGCCAAAGTTCTCGACGTTCGTTTTACTATGTCACAACAATCAGTCATAGGCTTCATAATTACCCGCAGTATATAGTATGCTGTTAAGCGCCCTCACTCGGATGATATGAACCATGTAACCCTTTGAGAGAAGCTGAGACAATAAAATTAAACTGTACCATCATGTTCCGTTGATTTAGAAAAAATGTTTATGTTTGATACATTATCATACATACTTTTCAGAAATGTTCTTGCAAATCAACGATACTGTTGTAGCTTTGCTGAAATGCTGATATTATATGTAGTAAGTGAATGAGTAACCATGGTGATATACCCAATCTGGAGAAAATCGTCGATATTTGACAGTTTAGACTGTATGATTAAGTCTTGTAATATAATATATAGAGAATATTTCATAAATGACGTTACAATTTAGTAAACTCGTGCAGTAATTTTCATTTTCTTCTAGTCTTGAAGATGATACTGATATATTCAGCCATGAATGCTGAAATACACTTTTCTTTTAAATCGCGCCCTCTTGTGGCGAATTGATTCTATCACGTAAATGGGCGACGCGAAGGCAGTTCAAATCGCCGGCATGTTTTTCATCTGTAGCCGTTCATCAAAGAAGACTGTGTTTTTGGGAGATTTTACTATATTCTAGATGATGAACAATTACACAAACAAATACATCTGTCGATTTGAGCGATGTTGCTTTGACACGTATCCTCGGGGGCGGAACTACGTCACAAGACGTTTCACGTTGCTAAGTCGCGCACCACTGTCCCACGCATTTCTATGGGCTCTGCGCGCGCTGCTGAGGAACGCGAAACGCCGAGCGAAGAGCCGGTGAAAATTCGAGAAAACAGGGACTCAACTTTGAAATAATCCTGAACAATCAAATTTATATGAGTTACAGTCGCAGGGATAATCTTGTTACACTGTTAAGGGGAGTCTCAACAACCATCCCAAAGTACCGTTTTCCGAGAGTTTTCGGCCTTTGTTTTCGCCGTGATGGTTGCCATAAAAGTTTAATATTAAAACAGAGATACAAATACAACACGATTTGCACATGGACAGACAGACACATAAACAAGACATATATACGTATATCACCAGACAATCTGCTGATGTTAGTCCTCTGCTTTAATAATAAACTCATCAGCTAAAACTTATTTCATCTTCAAAAATAGATTAAATTTATTGACAATTATACTGTCAATTTGCACGATGTACATAAATTATTAAGTTTTCCACAGAATACTTTTGAGCGATATAATTACAAATCGAGACACATTGTCACGTGACGTGACGTGAGTCTTACACAGCGTTGGTTTTTCACAAAATGTTGTCACAGAAACAGCTTCACTTGGGTTGGGTTGGTCAAACATGAAGTCACGTGACCGATATGAAAATAATTCCGGTGTCAGGAATATTATCTACATTTTTTGAAACTGTAACGGTTTACAGTATTGTATTTTATAGAGTCGCACATAACGTATAGGCGACTACGAATATGTTGCCATGTATTCTAATGAAATTAAAGTGCGGTGATCGTCGCGCAGCGCGTGTTCCAAGCAAACATACAATGTATTTTACATGCGTTAGATACGTCGCTATGAGTCCCGTATCGAACAGGACGCGGTGCGACGACTGTCGCCCCATTGACGCTGCAGGTCGGCGTCCTCTACACCGATCTGACGCATATCGCGCTAGGTGTGCCGGGAGTTTGTTCGAAATTTCGAACGTTTCGAAGTCAATCGTCGATTGCCACGTATTTTACGGATATATTAAATCGTTTCAGAGACCTGTTTACTAAATAATGATAAATGAAACTTAGAAAACTTGTAAGAACAAACTGGGCCCAAATTGCGCAAATTGCAATAAGTTTACGCTGCTAGAGTCTGGTTCGGAGTGAGTTCTACGCGTGATTTTATTGCGCTCAAGGACGTTATATTTTCGAACTAGTTGAACCCGGAAATAACGCAACTACTTTCGAACTTTAAACACAAATTTGATTATCGTTATTATGTGTTAGTTTCTGTTGTTTCAAATATTGAATTATGTATGACAATAATATTTCACTCTATAAACAATATTTCACTAAAATATGTGATTAAAAGGCAACCTAAATTGTAAAAAGCAATATCAAGTTCCGCGTATAAACACTGTTGTGAAGAGGCGGCGGAGCGGAATTTTAGCCAAAATCGGCTAGTAAGGCGTTTGCAATGAGCGGCATGCTTGTATTTCAAGATGTTTCACCGAACGCGAGAATAATCAAGTCCAATGCGTGAAATTTTAACGAAAACAAACAAAGAAGGTTCAAGCCAAATTCGAGATTATATGCCATACAAGACTGAGCCTAAAATGTCAAAACTAGTATTTTTACACTGGTTTCTATGGTGAGATTCTTTCTTCATATCTCAAAATTTTGCTTCGAGACGTGGAATGAAAAAGTTATATATTACTATTGATATGAACTCTAATATTGTTCAAACATTTCAAAAAAATTATATATCAATTTGTGAGATTCCGGGTTGATAACAGTTTTTCATTATATACAATGGGAAGCTATCTCCCATAATGCATTGCGTATATGTGCAGTAGCATGCTCAGTGGTGCAAGTTCGAACTGTCTTACTAGACTGAGTCAACCTTTCTACTGTCGTCAGTGTGGTTGAACCGGCTTCATTCATTTTAAATTCTTTTAAAATTTGGTTGCTTGAATCATTGTTATGTCTTTGTAAAATATAGCCTGCTATTCGATTGTTTGACAGTATTGTAGTAAAACGTAAAATGTAGTAAGAGACCTGTAGCGTTTAATTATGAAAATTATACATACAGGTACTTCGCATGACGTATTTCATAAATAATGTTTTTTTTTTATCAACGGAAATTAATAAAACTCATTTGCATATCAATTCCTTTTTAGCTTCCATGAAAGTAATAATAAAATGTAAAATAATGATATAATCGTAACAAATGTCAGACTATTCTACCATGGTAACCAGTTTCATAACATCGTAGTTCGTTATCGTTGCTTGGTTGCATAGTGGAAATACACGCAGTGTGTCCTTGTGTACACTCTGCAGTACCATTGCGGGCAGACAGGAAGTGTACAAGAGAATGGAAGCGGATAAAAAGTAAAAACGCGGAATATTTAAAATAATTTGAAAGCACGACAAAATTATGACATTTTGCTGATAAATTTCAAAGAACTAATAAAAAAAAACTTAATGCCATGGAAACAATGACATTGTGAATTACCCATAGCGTTACATCCCTCTCCGGTGGCCATTTTGAATTGTTAATTGGTTAAAGCGGGAGGGTCGTCACCTGCGCACGCGCGGGAATTGAGTCCCAAGCGACGATAACAACACACGCTAAAAACTCAAAGGCTCATGGGTAGACGCTTGTTTGTAAATAATGACACGGTATGGCCATCTGACGCATGCGCAAAGATTTATAACAAAAAACCAAGTTCAAGTACACCATGTAAGGTAACATTCATTCAGGTAACATTCGACGTGATGGTGGTAGAGAATGGAACATTATTGGAGAGGGGGGGGACAGGTCGTCTCTCCCTCTCAACAAATGTGGTTTAGTGATGTTTATACGTAAAAAACACTGAAAAAAAAGCAAGATTTTGTGTTCTCTACCAGCAGAGTTTTTTTTATCCGAGAGTCCTAATTGAATCTTCATTTAAAATTTTGAATATCAAACAGATTACGAATTTGAATAATGCAAGTTATTGTCTCATATTTCTATTGGTGATTAAGGCTAATTAATTAATTACAAATAGTATATCCATTCACTTATACCCGTATAATACTAATTGTTTATCTCATGAATGGCGACCAAAATGGTCTTAGCTTTGTCTTGAGTTAGGAATACATGATCGTCAAATAATTAGAAAAAATGCCACCGAACATTGAAAAGATAAAAAATGCGGTGCATTTTGTATTACACTAACTCCCGGACCCTAGCCACTGTAGACATGACACCATCGCCGTATTTTGGGGGATTTTTTAAAAATATTTTAAAAATGTCATTGCTTAATAAAACTTTAAAATTAAAATTATACACGATACGATGAGATTAATATTAAAATTCTATACTTTGAGGCCCATATTGTCAATTGGTGCGTCATAAAACAAAACTTTTCGTTACTCTTCGATTTGAAAGCGACTAATAAAAATTGCTATAGTAATAATGATTTTGTCGAATTATTCTATAATGTTGCGCGAAAACGTACAGAAAAATGTTCCCATTGTGGTCACCTGTATCATCAGGATAACAATTCAAACTCCAGGCCATTTGGACCTTCGGACTATCGATCCATGGTCAAACAAAGGTTTGGACTATTGAACCTTTCGGATATATATGTCCCCATGACGCAACAGGTTTCCCCCATGCCTTTCACGTTTTGTACCTGGGGTGTCTTTTCCTTATACTCGTCGTCTTTTTCTTAAACTACCAGTGTAAGTCTAAATACTAGATGACTGTCCTTGAACCAGTTGATGTCATATTTTCAAACAAACGGGTCTCGTACAAACATCCCATGTTTGTCAGTGGTCAATGACATACGAGTATTAAAGCGTGAGAGTGTTGACATCAATACTGCCACCAACGGCCATACTTAGTCAGACATTTCCGGGTGGAGGGATATATTTATTCCTGTGGTTAAATCATAATTGAATGAAATCAGATTTTAGATGCAACAAAATAAATCCCTAACTATTATCTTATATTTATATATTTTGCAGTATTATATTGTGCTTCCTGTCTGTTTTTTACCTATTGTTGATACAGCGACGCACTATTTTATGTCGTGCATGGATACATACATATGAGGTATCAGTCTGAGCGGTGGGAGAGTCTGAATCATTCTATTCATTTACCGGTCAGAAGAAATTCTAAGGATTTTTGGCATCTCTTTTGCCGACACCGTCGGGTTTCTGTGACTTCGGAGGACACAGAAACCAATAAACAACATGGTCCAAAAGTACACATCGCCCGTAAGGGTGTACAAATATTCTTTTGAAATAGTTATGGCGGTAAGTAGCGATTACTTTCATTCCGATATACGACGTACATTCGCCGCTCACTGTTATGAATCGATTGTGTTGTTAGTTTTCGTTTTCGCTTAGTTGTTGGCGATGTAGAACGAAATGGCTATATACTATTATTTTGGTTAGTAACTCAGTACGTTGATGTACACATCTGCTGCTTATGGTAGCTCGACAACATGCCGTGGTTCGTCACGCGATGTTTTGTTTTGATCTGTGACGTTTCAGAGATTAAAACATGGCAAAAAAAATCCATATTTCAACAGCGTTGTGTACGGTGACAGATCCAACGATAAGTACACAATACAATTCCAGTAATGTATTGTAAATGTTCATGGACAAGCCGAATGACGTACTTGAAATGTCGAATACACGTTACTAAATCTCTGAAAATGTGTCTGAAATCGCCTTCACAAGACGTTATGAATATGATAGGTTACATCCGTATCTGCATTTATGTCAGCAATGTTATGGAAATGTAGACACATATACGGAATGGCTAGATACAATGACGGTGAAACAATTTCATTTTCTCTGTGAAATTGAAGTAATACAATTGTGGCGTCTGTGTATATAATATTGCTAGAGTTTTATTATAAATCAATGGAATTCTCTAATCAAATTTTCTGCTGGAGAAAAAACGACTAGAATAATTGACACTTCTTGTATGAATGTGTGCAATCATTAAAAAACGTGATAATTTCATTAGTTCAAAGTTTTTTTTTGTGTGTGTGAAATAATCAAATTGGAAATTGCTTTTTTTTTACGTTCATGGCCAGTTTTACAACAGAGGTAAATACTGATAGACTTAAAGAATAATTAGTGTCGATATATTACAAATCTATTCATGTTGTGCAGCAAACGTAAATTCTAGCTAATATCTTTTCTCACTTTCCTGCGAAAAATAAAGTTAATTCACAGTATCGAATTGTTTGATTGTATTTATGGATTAGTTTTTAATTCTGAAACTCCATCTGTCTCTGTCGTTTGTAAATGTAGTGATTTTTGTTTTAAAGTTTGCAATATTTCTTAAAATGACTTACTGGTAGTATAAATTAAATTGTGATGTTTGTTGGAGGTTGTTTGCTATTTGTGTTCTGTTCTCAATTTTTACATCACTACTAAAACTCAAAAAAAAAAAAATCCCAGAAAATACCCAGATGCCTATTTGACATTTATAGTCCAATTTATGTACACATAGTGGCATCCCATTTGGGAAAAAAAGAAATATTTCAATTTTATTAGTAAATTTAAAAATTTATATTTTTTGAACGTTTTAAAATAAACCATTCAGGTCATGCATGTATTTGTGTAGAATGGACTATTTGCAGGCTGTTTTCATTTGTTTGTGTAATATAGCGGTGGCAGACAGAAAAGTGTCCTGAAATGTAAGTTCATTGAGGGACCAATGGACTAATAAATTGTACATTGCTAAATGTTTGTTTAAATCACCACCCCTATCACACACAGTACACCGTTTGTTTGTCATTTAGTTTTTTTATTGCCAACAATGGCTAGGCGCAGGTACAGGTGGGGTGAACAAACTTACGTCAACATAACTCGCTGTGCTCCTGGGCGTGTTTTAAATGGTTTTATACAAGTCGTTTATTAAACATGATTGCTCTTCCAAGTATTTTAGACCAATCCAGAATTCCATCTATCTTGGCAACATTGTTCTGTGTAAATTTAGTTGGTTTGATTTGAACTGTGGTAAACAATAGCTATTGTGCTGCGACAATGCAGAACTTTCTAGTTCATTGTAGTTTTACTTATAAAAGAAGCTCCAGCCAAATGACCTGGTTAATGTCAGAACTTGCTGTCCATGCTTCAACACTTAGTAATTCCTAATCACCTTATTTAAAAAAAATTTGTATTCTTCTTGAAATGTTTAAAAAGGGAAATAACAGGCTTTAGATTTTCTACAGGTCAAGTAAAATCTTTTCTAATCGAGCAGAATCTTTAATCAAATTTAGATGCGCTTCTAAAATAAAGTGGCCTTGCACGATTACAACAATTAACATTAACACCAAGACCTCCAGTACAGGCTAGCTGAGTACTTCAGTATTTCAGGAGTTGTCTTCAAACCAACTAAGTTTATCATTTACTTTTGGTGATCACAATAACCAGTGTTCTGCATATAATACAAAGTGGGGATAGGAAATGGATAGGTAACTTAGGCATTTCCTTTATTGCAGTGCACCTTTGCATAAATTAAGCTACTGTAGAATACTTTATTTTCACTTGTAATTAATTTTCGCTATTTTCGCTGAAGGAATGATTCAGTGAAAATAAAATCCAGCGAATATACCTTTTTTCCTGTATTTTACATTCAACTTGTCAAAAACCAGTGAAAATAAATTCCATACAAAACACCCAAAAAGTCTTTTCAGCGAAAATTAATTCCAGCTAAAATAAAGTATTTTACAGTAATTGGTGTCGATCACCTTATTCTATGTGAATTTGTTCACTTTATTATATTCAACAAAATCTGCTGTCTTGCAGTCATTCACATATTTGTTAGTAAATATACCAAATATTACAATAATTACTGCTCTCATACGAACAAGACAAAATTGACAAATTATTAACATTTTGTTTTCTTTTAGCCACTGTGCAACTCTTGTATTCTATTTATTTAATATATGCAAATGAACAGCACTGATTTCCATTGTTACATCCATGGAGGTAAAAGACAGACTCTTTTACCTCTATGTTACAACAAAGCACTTAGTGTATGGAAGTAAAAGACAGTGACTGACCTTTTACCTACAAGCCACCCTGAATGTTTCCATGATAATTCTACCATATATTTTTATAAAGCCATAAATCCAGATTTGATACGTTTCAAACGATCCAGTTAAATTGTTTTACCATGGTTTTACTTAGCATAATGAATACGCTATAATCAGGACAGAAATTTATTATCTTGTTGAATGAGACTCATTCTTACACTTGACACCATTGATCACATTCTTCAACTAACATGTATCAACAAACATGTTTTAGATTTTTCTCTTGTTCACAAGATTCAATTGATAGGTTTACACGGCAGCATTTTGTCAGAGCCGAACTATTGCTGCTCTTACCAATTAACAGGAGATCATCTCTTGTGCCTTAAAATAGTTGTGACCGAACATCCGAAGTTCGACTTGTTTCGATCAGAGCTGAGCTTAGACTACCATCCTTAACATAGGGTTCTAGTTTAAACTGTCAGCCTTGTCAGGGCTCGGTCCTATTGGAGTTATCAATAAGGGTTTATTGGAGCTGCTTAAACTGACTCAAGTCGTCTAGAGCTGAACACGTTTACACAGTCATTTTTGCTGGTTCAAACTGTTGAGCTCTGATGAAATGCTGTCAGTGTACTTATGAGTTTCTATTCTTTCATTTTTACTTCACAATGAGCATAAATATTAATGTTGGTACTTGTTATTGTACATGAAGTGAATTAGAAATGCATTGTTTGGTTTCATCCAGAGATATGAAGAAAGAGAATATTACTTGAATATAATTCTCAGTATTTCAGATTAATTTCTATTGATTGGAGTATTTAGCTCAATTTAATAAATAAGCATCTTCGCATTTTTTTAGCTCCGCTGTCGACTTTGTTGAGCGGAGCTTATCATATGAGTGATTGTCAGTCGTCCGGTGCCAGTCGTCCGTGTCAATGTTTTACTTTTTCGACTTCTTCTTGAAAACTACAAGCCTGAATCCTTTGATACTCGGTGTATATGTACCTTGAGTAGACCTCTCTCAGATTTGTTCATTTCATGATGATATCTTCAATTCTTTAATTTTGGTGAATATTTTTGTCATTTTTGGTAAAAAGTGATATTTTCAACTTCTTGTTAAAAACCGCAAGTCCAATTGCTTTGATATTACATATATAGGTACTACATGTGGATCTCTCTCAGATTTGTTCATTTTGTAATGATATCTTCAATTCTCTAATTTTGGTGAATATTTTTGTCATTTTTGGTAAAAAGTGATATTTTCAACTTCTTGTTAAAAACCGCAAGTCCAATTGCTTTGATATTACATATATAGGTACTACATGTGGACCTCTCTCAGATTTGTTCATTTCATGGTGATATCTTCAATTCTCTAATTTTGATGAATATTTTTGTCATTTTTGGTAAAAAGTGATATTTTTAAATTCTTGTTGAAAACAGCAAGTCCCATTGCTTTGATACTATACATATTGTTCATTTTCCAATGATATCTTCTGTTCTTTAATTGAAATGTGCATTGCTAACAGCGGAGCTATCTCAGCTGACAGGTTGCTTGTTTTCAAATATGAGTAATTGGCACAAATAATCTTTTATTTTGCATTTTATAAAGAACGACAGACATGAAGAAAAAAAAACTGCTTTTGATAGAACACAGCACATTAAAAATAGATTGATATATATTTAAACTACTCAATTTTGTTTCAATAGGCATGTTATATAGGTCAATACTGCCACTTTATTACCATTTATGACCTTATGAAATGCTTTTTAGCTTTTCTCTATGATAGCTTATATATTTTCAATACATGTACACGTAGTGTTTGTGTGGAGTCTTTGTTGGCCACTTTAGCCTCAGGTGCTTTTGAAGAATTGATTTTCGGTAATCTGTAGAAACTTTATTTTTTCCTGTAGACAGTAGCATATTGTAACTAGGTGAGATTATCAAGAGTTTTAAGTATGGGTTGAAAAGGCAGCTCAGACATCCAGAAGACTTGAATGGCGGTGGTCGTCCTACGAGTGTTCTAATTTCATGTAACAATGTACGTTACACAAGTTGTATACGTAGCACCATGACCACTGCCTTTTAAAAGTCAATCTTACTGTTAGTGTATTATTTTTATATTAACAGATGCCAGTAAGAAACAATGGAATTAAATCGCTTGTAAATATGCTACGAAATCTTTGAAAATGTATGTCACATTCAAGCATATTTCTTATGTTATATTTGACACAGCAATCTTGTAGTGTTTGCTGGAAACA